AGTCCTGAAGCTTCACAGGCTGAAGTGTCAGAGCACAAAGCTTTAAACCAGCAGAACTGCTGAAAACTAGGGGGGAGTCCCTAAAAGCAAGAAGCCATGAAGAAGATGGTGAGCACCATTGCCACCCACATTTTTGGATTAATGGCGAATTATTCAGGCCTAGGAGAGACCCCTAGTACAATAACAAAGCTAAAAGCAAACACACAAACAGAAAACAGAAGTGTAAAATACCAAAGCTGAATAGAGATATCAGCTACTACACAATGCTTGAAAAAGAAAGTTACATTTTAAATTCAGGCATGTTAAATTCCTAATAGAATGACAACAAAATAATAACCAAACAATAATTCTGAGGAGAAAACAATAGAACCCAGAGCTGCTATAAAATACTGTATTATTTACAATGTTCAATTCTGAAGCAAAAATTACTAGCCATGCAAAAACAGTAGAAAGGATACTCAATAGAAATTGAATTCAAGATATCTCAAATATTTGATTTGGCAGAAAATGACATATAGAGATATATGTATATCTATGTATGTATCACTAAATAAATACATTGGGAAAGTCAACAGAGAAATGGAAATTATTAACAGACAAAATATCAACAGATGAAAAGTTGGAAAGCAGAATCACTGAAGTAAATTTTTAAAGTATTTTTATTGATGTGTAATAATTGTACATATTTAGGGGGTGCATGTGATATTTGGACTCATTCATACAGTGTGGTGTAATTATCAAATCACAGTATTTAGGATATTCATCATCTCAAACATTTGTCATTTATTGGTATTGGGAATATTTCAAATCTTTTCTTCTACCTATTTTGAAATATTCAATAAATTGTTGTTAACTGTATTCATGCTACAGTGCTACACAACCTTAGAACTTAGAATTTATTTCTTCTATCTAGTTGTATGTCTGTGCCCGTTAACCAACTTCTGTTCATACCCCTCACATCTTCCCAGCCTCTGGTAACCATCATTCTAATCTTTACATTCATGAGATCAGCTTTCTTTAGTTCCCATCAATGAATGAGATCCTGCAAAATTTGTCTTTCTGTGCCTGACATATTTCACTTAACATAATGACCTCCAGCTCAATATATGTTGCTGCAAATGATAGGATTTCATTCTTTATTATGGCTGAATAGTATTGTGTTGTGTATATATACCGTATTTACTTTGTCCATTCATTGATGGGCACTTAGGTTGATTCCATATCTTGGCTATTGTGAATACTGCTGCAATAAACATAGAGACACAGCTATTCCTTTGATATACTGATTACCTTTCCTTTGGATAAATATCCAGTAGTGGGATTGTTGGATCATATAGTATTACTATTTTTGTGTTTTTGAGAAACCTCCATACTACTTTCTATAATGTTGATACTAACGTTCCAATCAACAGTGTATAACAGATTCCTTTCTCTGCACTCTCATCAGCATTTGGTACTTTTCTGTCTTTTTGATAATAGCCGTTTTAACTGATATTTCATTGTGGTTTTGATTTACATTTCCCTCATGCTTAGTGATATTGAACATTTTTTCATATACATTGTGGCCATTTGTATGACTTCTTTTGAGAAATACCTATTCAGATCCTTTGCCCAATTTTGAATGAGATTGGTTGTGATTTATTGTCGTTGAGTTGTTTCTAGTATATTCTAGATTTTAGTCCCTTGTCAGATAAATAGTTTGCAAATATTTTCTCCCATTCTGCAGGATATTTACTCTATTGATCATTTACTTTGCTACGAGGTAGCTTTTTAGTTTAGGACTACCATTTGTCTTTTGTTTTTGTTTTCTGTGGCTTTGAGGTCTTATCCTAGACCAATGTCCTTAAGTGTTTCCACTATGCTTTTTACTAGTATTTTTATAGTTTCACGTCTTATGTTTAAGGTTTCAGTTCACTCTGAGTTGACCATTGTATATAATGAGAGATAAGGGTCTAGTTTCATTCTTCTGTATATAGATATCCAGTTTTTCCAGCACCATTTATTGAATAGGGAGTTCTTTCTCTCATGTGTGTTCTTGACACCTTTATTAAGCATCAATTGACTGTAAATATCTGGATTTATTGCTGGGTTCTCTATTCTCTTCCATTTATCTGTGTGTTTGCTTTTATACCAAAACCATGCCATTTTAATTATGATAGTTTTGTAGTATCATTTGAAGTCAGGTAGGGTAATGCCTCCAGCTTTATTCTTTTTGCTCAGTATTACTTTGGCTTATTAGGGTCTCTGGTGGATCCATATGAATTTCAGGACTTTTTTTTTTCTGTTTCTATGAGGAATTTAATTAATCTTTTGAGGGGGCTGCACTGAATTTATAAAATTTTTGAGTAGTATGGTCATTTTAATAATTTTAATTCTTTTGATTCATGAGCATGCGATGTCTTTTAGCTCTATCATGTTTTATTTATATTAACATTATATATATATGTTTTATTTATATTAAGGGTTGTTGTTTACTGAATGCACATTTAGAATTGCTGTGTCTTCTGTATGCTGGGTCCCCTTATTATTACATAATCACCCTTTCTATCTTCAGTGACTTTTTTGCTCTGAAGTCAACGTTAGCTGATTCTAATATAGCCTTGCTTTTAAGAAAAGCCTGTGTGGTATACAATTTTTTTATCCTTTTACTTTCAGCCTACCTATGTTATTTTATTTGAAATGAGTTACTTGTAGTCAGTATATCATATCGTTTGATCGTGGTTATTTTTTTACAACCATTCTAATAATCTGTTTTTTAAATTGTTTATTTAGGCCACTAAATTACCTAAGGTAAATATTTACATGTTAGGCTTAAGTCTTCCATATTTTTATTTCTTTTTTAACTTTGTTTTTCTTTTCTCTTTATTTTTCTGCTTTGGGCTTTCTTTTGAAACCTCCCTGTGGGTTAAGTAAACATATTTTAGAATTTAATTTTTATTTCTTTACAGTGTTTTTGAGTATACTGCTTTGTTTAATTCCTCAGCAGTTATTTTAGTTATTACAATATGTGTATATTATTGATTAAATCCTACTAATATGTTTTAGCACTCTAAAGTATGTAAACTTTGCTTCCTTTCAGGTCATTTAATTTTCCCACTTTTAAAATAGAATCATTTTTATTCTTTATATAAATTGAGCACTAAATCAGAAGATATTTTACATAAACCATCAAATATGATTTAAGACACTCAGGAGAGAAAGATATTTTATTTAATTTATTTCTACTTTTATTGACTTTTATGTTCTATTTTTTCTTTCTGAAGTTCCAAGTTTGTTTTTTCCAATTTCTTTCTGTTTAGAGAACTTTTAAAAATCATTTTATAAGAGTAGATTTGCTAGCAACATTTCTTCTATCTATATATTCAGTGCAACCCCAATCAAAAATCCCAGTGAGATTTTGTGTAGAAATTTACAAACTGGCTCTAAAAATCATTAGCTATGCAAAGAAACTAAAGCAGTCTTGGCAAATGTAAAAAACTTAATTTGTGGAGACATATGCTAACTGGCTTTAAGAAATTAAAATTAAGAAATTAAGTCAGTACTTATGTATCTCAATAAAGCTTTTAAACACAATAAAAGTGTTTGTTCATTGAGAGAGATACTATCAATACAATATATACCAAGGCACAGGCTGAAAGAAAACAGCAAAATGCAAATTTCTGACAGGGAACTTACATATATAAGTAACTTTTAGAATTTAATAATAAGAAGACTATTCAATAAAAATGACAAAAGAGCAAAATGTTAGAGAAGGCATTCTACATACACAAAAAAATGATATACACAAATGTCCAATAAGCACAGAAAAACAAATGGTCAGCCTCATAAATCATTAGGGAAATGTAAGCTTCCTCAAAGATATGCCACCAGACATCCACTAGTGTAGCCACAATCACCATAACCCAGGTGCCCAGGTTTTCACTGTAAAGAAGTAGCCACTTGTAACTGCTGCATCTTGAGTTCTTGTTGTTTCAGAAAAGTTTCAGAACAAAGGTGAAAGTCAAGCTCTTACTGGGCTGGTTAGCTGAGTCATTGCATGCAGAGGTAGAGTAAAGGCAGCACAGGCGCAGTCATTGATCATGCTGTGCCACTGATTATGTCCAGCCCCAGCAAAACAAAAACCAGATGCATCCAGAGATGCCTGAGTTGGAGATGAATTTGGCAAACCCTCCTCATTACCATACTAAAAACGCAGCCCAGGAAGGAGCTTACTCTCCATTTTCCATGCATGCATCATAGGTAGAAGCATGATCAATGACTGTGCCTGCACTGCCTTTACTCCACCTCCATATGCAATGACTAAGCTAACCAGCCCAAAAAAGGCCTAATTTTCACCTTTATTCAGGGAGGCACTGCTTTGGGGAACTACCTCTGGTTTCTTCCTTTCTTGTTGCAAGTAACAAAATGTCCTTGTTAAATCCTCCTTGGTTGTGATCTTTGGACTGTCACCCACCAAGCAATGGAACCCACCCATTGTGTTGGTAACATTACTGACAATACCAAATGTTGGTGAGAACAGTATCAAGTATTTGTGTTGCTTTCATATGTAGCTAGTAGGAAACATTGTCTTTTTCTCTGTTTTTAATAGTTTAACTTTTATTTTAGCTTCGGGGGTACAAGTGGAGGTTTGTTATATAGGTAAACTCATGACTCAGGGGTTTGGTGTACAAATTATTTCACTTACCATGAGATCCAGAAATCCCACTCTTGAGTATTTATTCCAGTGAAATGAAAACTTATGTCCATGGAAATACTTTTATGTGTGTTCATAGAGATAATTTATAATATTGCCAAGCCAGAAACAACTCAGATGTCCACCAATAGAAGAGTGAATGGATAATGTAATGGAGAACTAGTCAGCAAAAGAAAGGAATGATTTGCTTGTGTATTCAGGAACATGGATCAATCTCAAAAGCATTGTGCTAGTGAAGGAAGACATACACAAAAGACTATATTGTACATGTACACAATTAATATCAAATTGTAGAAAAGACAAAACTCTGCCAATATTCTCATTGCTCTGATTAATAATCAGGACAGGCTAAACATTTGCTGTATATAATTTTTAATTTTTAATTTTAATTTTTGTGGGTACAACATTCGCTATATTGAGATCATGCATGTGTCCTCAAACCTAGTTCTTTTCCTAAGTCTAGTTTTATAAATGCTAGTGATGAACCCGGAAAAGAAAAAGGAGATAAAAAAGACATAATAAAGAAGAGGCATAACTTTAGTAATAGAAACAGCTCAATGGTTTCCCAGGGCTGCATTTGAGGGAAGACATTAATTACAAAAGGTCATGAGGAAAGTTTTTGGGGTGATATAAATTTTCTGTATCTCAATTTTGGTGGGTAAGTGACTATACTAGTTTGTGAAAACATAGGAAATATGTACACTTAAAATGAGCAAATTTTATTTTATCTAAATTATACTTACAAAATGTCCTTTTAAAATGATTGACAGTAGCAAGTGCTACTGGTTAAGCACCTGGCTGAGACGTGAAAGAGGCTGAACTCCTATACACTTGTTGATGAGAAAGTAAAATGGAACAAACACTTTGGGAAACTGACCACTTCCCTCTCGAAGCTAGACACATTGCTCATTAAATATTCCAGGAGTTCCATTCCTAAGTATTTGCCAAAAATAAATGAAAATGTACCTTTATACAAAGGCTTGTACAGAAATGCTTTTTGAAGCTTTATTCACAGTAGCAAAAACCAGCAAATCCTATATACAAGTATTAATCAAGAAGTGAATGATAAATAAAATGAGGTATATCCATAAAATAGAATAACAATATAAATGACCATAACAGTAACAATATAAGTGAACTATAGATATGTAAAAACATGGATGAATCTCAGAGTCACTATGTAGATTGAAAGATGCCATATACAAAAAGTCCACATTGTACAATTCTACTTACAAAATGTTTTAAAATGCCAACTAATCTACAGTGAAAGAAAACTAATCAGTGGTTGCTTGTCTATAATGTTCACTACTGGTGGTCCGGTGCCTCCCAAAAGCCTTACACATAACAGGAATGACAATGACAATGACAATGATGATGATGATGATGATATACCTACTCGATATGTATTTATTGAATATATAATGTATTAAGAGACTATTAATAATGACCATAACTCCTAAAGTAGAATTATGGTGGAGGCCCATTATAAATCTTAACACCAGAGACCAATAATTAAGGGATATGTAGTGGGCAGTAGGCAAGTGATATGAGAGCATTGGCTTAAAAAAAATGTATTGAGAAATGTGGAAGCAATTAATCAGCCATGTGTGGATGGGATGAAGATAGTCTTATATAACTAGGGACTTTGACTAATTCTTCAGTGAGTTACTGGATTTATGAAAATAATACATAAGGGGATAGGGCCTGAGGCCCATTCATGTAGGTGGGAGTGACAGCGGGAGCTCTGCAGAGCAGTCACATTAACTGTGGTATCAGAAAACTAGTGTAAATAATTGTCATGTGTCCTACAAGTAGTCTGTTATTAACAGCAGTACAGATCTATGAATGTTGTACTTTGGATTTTATAAGTAAAGTGGATCCAAGGTTAATTCAGTAATAAGTTTGCTCTTACTTGCCTTCTGATACATTTTTTTGAAAGGGACAGAGAAAGTTGAGGTTAATACGAATGTACATCTTAAGTCTACATGTACTAGTAGTATGTTGCACAGATTCATGCCTTCTGTCACGTGTTCTTCCACATAGTAAAGGTAGAGAAGTGCTGCTGTGAGTTATACCTGAGTGTTTAAGAAAATGTGGTACAGATAGAATACTATGCAGCCATAAAAAAGAATGAGATCATGGTTTTTTGCAGGAACACAGATGGATCTGGAGGCCATTATCCTTAGCAAATTAACACAGGAACAGAAAATCAAATACTGCGTGTTCTCACTTGTAAGTGGGAGCTACATGATGAAAATTTGTGAACACAAAGAAGGGAACAAGAGACAATGAGGTTGGAGGGTGGGAGGAAGGAGAGGAGTAAGAAAAAATAACCACTGGATACTAGGCTTAGTACCTGGGTGATGAAGTAATCTATACAACAAACCCACGTGACACAAATTTACCTATATAACAAACCTACACAGGTACACCTGAACCTAAAATAAAAGTTAAAAAAAGAAAAAAGAAAACTAACAGGACTGAGCTTGGAGCCTCTTGAGGCAACAACGGAATTGGATATTTAGGTCTGGTAAACCTTACACTAGGTGCAACAATAACTAACATGTCCTCTAACAGACTCAACTGTCTCATAGTAAGTGATAGGTTTTAGAGATGCGAAAACGAACTAGAAATAGAAGCCTGTTCCCAAGAAATCTGAAGTACTGCAGGGAATCTAAAACTCTTCCCTTAGGCTTGGCTTTCATGCTTTCTTCCCAAAACGTGACTCCCTGAAAAAGTTTAAGAACTTCCTCCTCTTTATCCTCCTTCCAACTCTTTCCCCCAATTTAATTGTTATTATTACTTTTAATTTTATTTATTTATTTATTTGTTTTGGGAAACAGGGTCTTTCTTACTCTACCCCGTATTTGTTTGTTTGTTTATTTATTTATTTATTTTGGGAAACAGGGTCTTTCCTACTCTACCCCGTATTTGTTTGTTTGTTTATTTATTTATTTATTTATTTATTTTGGGAAACAGGGTCTTTCTTTTTCTACCCCCCATGCTGGAGTGCAGTGGTGCAATCTCAGCTCACTATAGCTTGGACCTCCAGGGCTGAAGCAATCCTCCCGCCTCTGCCTTCTGAGTAGTTGGGATTATAAGCACATGACATCACGCCCATATAATTTTTGTATTATTTTGTGTAGAGATGGGATTTTGTCATATTGCTCATGTTGGTCTAATTTTTAATGTTTGTGGATATTTATATTTGTTTATTAAACATCTTCCTTATCCTATAAGCTCTCTGAGAGCAGGGACCACTTTCTTTTTCACAAAGTATACTCAGGGCTTGATACAATATGTGGCACAAAGAAACACTCTGTAAATATTTATTTTATTGAAGAAATATATTCAAGGATAAATAAATTAAAAGGTGAACAAATGAATAAACATGTATACGTATTTTTCAGTTTTTAACCTCAGGGCAAGCTCTGTTAGAAGGGGAGTTTATTTGTGTGTGTTTGTTTCCAAAGCTGTTCACAAGGGCTTATGAGAAGTGTCGAAGTCATTTCTGATTAGTGAGCATGTGTTCGGCAGGACCACCTGTGACTAATTCACTCTTATTTTCCAGAGATGGATTTCAGAGCTTGGTAGTGAGTGGCTGCATAGCTTTAATGGCAGTGCTGCCCGGACATGAGTGCTTAGCAGACAGTTCTTTTGGGAAGCAAGGGCTAAATCCCAGATGGCTAATTTTTCAAAGTCTAGCAACACCTTGCACCCATCTCACCACATGATCTTAAACTGCCCATTATTTAGACTGAAATAATCACCTATGTCCTACCAAAGGAGACACTGATTAACAGGATTCCTAACTCTACCAGACTCCCTATTCTGTGTGCATTAGGTTGACCTGAGAAATGTGGTGGTATTGGCTGGTAAGTGAACATTGGGCCAGATAAGAGGTCCTGGGCAGCAGAAAGAAGATCAATATACAGTCTTTGTGAGGTATGACTTTGGGAGGTCACTTATCTACCTTGAGCTTAACTCGGCTCATCTATCCAGTGTAGATACAGATAATTTTCCAACAAATCATGGTGGGTTAAATGAAATTAGGCACACTCCAACTGTTTGGCATTAACATGTATGTGCACATGCAAGGTGTGTACACAAAAACATTCTGTGTCTATCTGATCTTTAAAATTACATTTAAATATTTTTAAATTTTCAATTAAAATGGTAGATGCTTTTATACATACAAGAATGTACAAAGGATAATAAAATGAATATTCATGAATTCACTACCCATTTTTATAATTGAGTCTTCCAACTCATAAATATATATACTATAATCTCTATTTACATAAATAAACTCTAATGTCTTTCAAGAAAGTTTGTAATGCTCTCCATAAAGGCTTTGTATATTGCTAAATTCTTTTGTATATTCCTTTATGTTCAGTTACTATTTCAATTGTATCTTGTCTTTTTAAAACTTGCAATTGCTGTTTTCTTCTTGTGTTTTATATATTGACCTGATATCTAGCAAACTTAATGAACATCTTTTGTCATCCTAACATTTAATATGTATATTTCTTGGCTTTTCTATATTACATCATCTGTAAATAATCCAGTTTGGATTATTTTTCAGTACTTTTCATTATTTAATTTTCAGTTAAACAATACCAGCTAGAATCTCCAGGTAAGTGGTGATAGGGTTTTGCTGTGTCCTCACCCAAATTTCATCTTGAATTGTAGCTCCCCAAATTCCCTCATATTGTGGAACAGACCTGGTAGGAGATAACTGAATCATGGGGGCAAGTGTTTCAAATGCTGTTCTTGTGGTACTAAATAAGTCTCATGAGATCTGATGGTTTTATAAAGGGGAGTTCCCCTGCACAAACTCTCTGGCCTGTGGTCATGTAAGATATGTCTTTGCTTCACCTTCCACAATGGTTGTGAGACCTCCCCAGCCATATGGAACTGTGAGTCCATTAAACCTCTTTTTCTTTATAAATTTCTCAGTCTCAAGTATGTCTTTATTAGCAGCATGAGAACAGACTAATACAGTAAATTGTTACTGGGAGAGAGGCACTGCTGTAAAGGTACCTGAAAATATGGAAGAGGCTTTGGAAATGGCTAACAGGCAGCGGCTGGAACAGTTTAGAGGGCTCAGAAGAAGACAAGAAAAAGTGGAAAAGTTTGGAACTTCCTAGAGACTTGTTGAATGGCCTTGACAAAAATGCTGACAGTGATATGGACAATAAAACCCAGGCTGAGGTGGTCTCAGATGAAGATGAGGAACTTGTTGGGACCTGCAGTAAAAGTCACTTTCTCTGTGCAAAAATACTGGCAGCATTTTGCCCCACCCTAGAGGCCTGTGGAACTTTGAACTTGAGAGAGATGATTTAGGGTATGGGGCAGAAGAAATTTCTAAGCACCAAAGTGTTCAAGAGGAAGCAAACCATAAAAGTTTGGAAAATTTTCAGCCTGACAATGTAATAGAAAAGAAAACCCCATTTTCTGGGGAGAAATTCAAATCCTCTGCAGAA